GGGGGGGGGAGGCCTAGCAAAGCTATCTGTGGATCTCAACTGTGTAGGGGGTTGGTGTCCCTAATCCCCACATTGTTCAAGGGTGATTGTACTTTGAAATCATGATAGTTATTATACCTCTTGCTAAATAACTGCTATTTAAGGTATTACTAAAGAAATACAAGTCACTATACCACAAATTTATATTCTAATGACCATTTCAACAGTTTCCCCAAGAATCCATATTTCACTTTACGCTTTAAAAATTTATTCTGAGAAGTCCAGACTTTATCACAATACCAAAATGTCTATAGTTTAAATCAGAGTAGAAAATTCCAAGGTGTAAGAAACAGCAGAACTCACAAAGTGGAGGCAATGATGAGAAAGTCTTACTCAATTAGGCAGGGAAGTGGCAAGAAAGTTTAACACCTACCCCAGAACCTTACTGAAAAGTCATCAGAGAGAAAGAGAAAGCCCAGTCCCAACCCAAGTTCAGGTAGGAGGTCCAAACTCATACTACCTGTGTATGTGCAGGGACCTGAAGCTAAAAATTTGACATTCAAAATTCAACCACATTCCTGAGGCTTTTTCAGAAGAGCTAATGGGAAACTGTGCCTTAAGGACATTTCAACAGCCCAGGGATCATAAGAATCCTATAGAAAACATGCCTCCCTCACCCCTGCCCCAGATGAGATCACTGTGAAAGATTACACAAAAACACAGACTGATATAAGGCAGTCAGAAGTTGCAAAAATGGGAAGACTTTGTCCTCAACAAACTAGAAATAGAGGAATTTGAAAACAATTTAAAAATAATTATATTAAATTGTTCAAAGAGGTAAAGAATGGAAGTAGTAAAACAAGAACAGGAAAGAATGAAAAAAGGATTTTTGTAAAAGTAACCACAAACAAATTCTGAATTAAAAGCACACATTAAAGCACAAAACCCAACCGACAGGTTTAACAATAAAGTTGGAGAGAAATGTGATGAATACGGGGAACAGAACAGTCAGAAGATTACAGAGCAAAGCACAAGACACAGATAAAATTGGAAAATATTTTAAAAATTAAGAGATATGGGAGAGTGAGAAGATCTGTAACAATCTAATAGTCTATATTTAAAAAGAGAGAATGAAAGAAAAATTTCAAAACTCAAAAGACGGACAAAAACTCTCAGAATCAAGG